ACCTGGATGACCGCATGGATAATGGCTGCCCTTCTTCCTGGCCCAGGCCTTTTTAAAACCTCCCTGACCTCAGCAGCCGGTCCAACCGAAGCTGCCAATACTGGCTACAAACCGTCCAATCTGCAAAGCATCCCTGGCTACCTGGGCCCGCGCGCAGGGCCGGGTCTTTCCCCCCCTTGCCCAGGTGACCAGAGCATCGCCTCCCAGGCGCCAGGCTTTTGTCTGCAGACAAGGAGCGAGATCCCCACTGTGAGGGATTCAACAGCAGCCTCTCAGGCTGGCTGAGACAGATCTCTGGAGAGGGGCACCGACGGGGGCATTTCTGCCACAGGCATGACATCTGGCTTGCGCAGGACATGGGCAGCTGACTGATGTTCCCCTTCTCTGAGCTGAGCTCAGTGACTAAAATTTCAGAACACCATGCCAGTGTTACAGCAGAGTTTCACAGGTCTGACATTCTCTGATGGTGGTGACACAAAAGACCTGATTGTACTAATACAATCTACAGTTACTACTTGCATAAGTTTTCATATAGATCATTTTTCCACTGGGGTAAATAATGGTGATTTCTCAAAGCCCTGCCCCTGTGCCTCTCTGCAGAGCACTTCCATTTTAACTTCACATGTGCTGGAACTCTGGCAGGACAGCAATGGAAACTTGCCTGGTCTCCTGCTAGCTCACCTTTCCACATGTCTCCCTGATCCTTCATATCTAAGGGGTAGCCCTGTCAGCATCTAAGGGGTAACCCACACACTCTGGTTCCATTGGGTCAGAGGTGTAATGGGTCCCAGGCTTTCTAATGGCTTTTGATGTGGGGAGCCATTGATCTAAGACTCCTGGAGCTTCCAAAATGTAATTAAAAAAAAATGCTCAGGAATTTACTTTCTGTTGAACTGTCCAGCTCTAGGCTTCAGCTCCTTATTTGAAATAAAACTACTATATATATTTTTTGCAGGTGGGAAAGTCAGTCTATGTCCAACAGGAAACCAAAACAGCCAGGCATTCAGAAGATAGCACACATTGCAGGGTTTCTTCTAAAAGGGTAGAAGCAGCTGGAGCTGAGCATTCAAAAACGTCACAGCAGTGAGTTCAAAGCAGTCAGGTTATAATGTCACTGCTCCTGTCCAGGGTGACCTAGGGCAGGCTGCAACAGTGATGAGGCTTGTCCCTAGATAGTGCAATTGTAAGAGTGACAATCAGTCCCAGCTGAGAACTGTATACAGAAATTATTTCAAATGGTGAATGCACTTGTTGCTAAACTAGCACTCCTGTACAAACATTCAAGCTTCCAGTTTTGTGAATCAGGAAAATTGCAGCATTTTGGCTTATTGAACCAAAGTGAAATATTTTCTGTCCTGTTAGTTTGGCCTTATGCTGTATCTATGTGTGGTGCCACAAGGATTTGGGACAGTTGATGCTGAGCTACCTACTGGCCACCCCTCCACACCTTCAGCCAGATACACACAGCTCACCCAATGTCTCTCTTCATGTACTGCTCTCAACCCTCTGACTGAGATGCTTGATACATCAGGGAGGTCAAATGACAGTAGGTGCACCCTTGGAGCTGTAGAGCAACTTGGGCAACCAGCAATGCGGACAATAGGTGGTAAAGGGCGTTGTGCCCTGTTACTGAGAGAGGGAGAGAGTGAGGGCTGTGCCTCAGTTGAGACTGGAAGAGGCAGGCTGTGGGCTACAGGAAAAGATCTGGAGGGTTGCACTCCTGCACTTGCACCTCCCTTGATCCCTTCTCCACCCACTGTTTAAAACCAACAGCCTGGCAGTGGCAGCAGCATCTAGTCTGGCAGTGCTGAGGGAGTCACTTGACTTCATGGCTTATTATAATCTACCTGGTCCCTTCGAAACTCTTTGTTCCTTGGGTATTAACAGCTGACCCTCCTTTCTTTATAATGGTCCTCATGTGCCACAATCATTCTGGTCTTCGTTCTACAATTCTGCTGTCTGTTAACTGCTCCTCCGAATAAAGCTCCTATTTCATAGCTCTTAAGATGGTTATTAACTCACTTCAATTAAGTTGTATGTGTTTTTGCTTCAACCTTAAACTGAACAATACATCCCTATACTCCTAACATATTAGCACAGTTTCTATTTTATTCTTAACTGGAGAAAAATAAATGCTGTTTTACATGTGATGATGATGCACCTCCCCATCTGCACCCCCGTTTTCAAAATTCCAGATCCCCAAGTTTGGCTTTACAAGCCCTGCACCAAAGGCAGAGAGGGGCAGTCTGAGCTGTGCAGAGCTGTAATCAGGAGCTCATGGCTGGCAGCAAAGAGAAGCCATTCAGGGAACTGGAGATAACTCTGGCTGTGCTAACTGGAGGAGGTCCCAGTGCTGAGTGAGGAAACAATATGGAAGCATCTCAGAAACATATGGGTGCGAGGAGCCATCCTGCCTGGAGATGGAGTGGCGCAGAGCATCTTCCTGGCACGCATCCCCTGCTGACTTTTGAGGCTATGGTGGGAAAGTGGGGGATTTCCAGGATGAGGTCCCTAATTTCTGGATTTCCATATGGTCAGCCTACCTAAACCTCTAGGTTTGGTTAGTTGTTCTCCACTATCCAATTAGTCCCCCTTTTTTGGAAATAAGGACACTGGTCAATATGCTCCACATGAGCCCTCCCCAAATGCTGAATGGAGGCAATGAATCACTTCCTGGGTCTTGCATGTGACAGTCCTCCTCCCAGGCCCCAAAAGTCCACTCTCATTTTTTTTTCTTCAGTACAAATGGCAAAGAGTGTCTCCATATGGCATGAAAAACACCTCATGAAAAATAGAGATAAATATCCAGTTAGGTGGTGATGCAGAAGCCTCTCCTGCACTAGAGCACTGCACTTCACACAATTTGCAGAAGTTCACATACATAAATTAAAGCAGTGAGACAGCTGGTATGATGTAATATCAAATGACTTCCATGCTACTTAAAAAATAGTCATTTGACAAAAAACAACACTGTTCCTGAAAAGTGATGAAAATCATGAGATGCTAAATCCATGATAAACAATTCATCTAGGTTCTGTCAAACACTCTATATTGAAAGCAACTATTACACACACACACACACACACACACACACACACACACACACACAGATATATAGATATGTGAGTGACATATGCAAAATGCATGTACTCGTTTGTTTGTATGTGCACGTGTATATGGACAAAAACAGACACACGTGCACATGTAAAAGGGTCATGCCATTCTTGAACTGAGAAATTACAAGATTTAAAGGACAGCATTCTGAAACTGTCTTGCATGTTATATTTAGTAATTTAAACCCCTAAACCCTTGAAAGCAGAACAACCCATTTATATTTGTGAAGCAGAGGTTTTTCATAACTGAAATTAAACCTCTGAGGATGGAATGGGTCTAACGCCTTTAATCTCTCTCTTGTTTTAATATGTTGCACGCAAAGCAGTAAGGTAAAATAACCAAAATGGTGGCTATGCCCGCATTAACTCTTAACAGTTTCCCACAACGCAGAAACTACAAGCATTGAGAAAGTCTCAGCTGAGTATTTCTGGAGGCATTTTCTGGCACTACAGCTGCCACCAGTGTAAACTGATCAACAATCAGCTCTCTCTGATATAGTAGTTAGTGCACTGGGAGCATAATAGGGACAATGAGGGGTCCTTTTCTGGGCCCTGGAAGCTCACACATGAGGATGGGCTGCCAGGCCTGCTCAGAGGGCTGTAGTTGCTCACATTTACCCATGGCATCGTAGACTCTGAGTCCTATCATCAAAAGCAGGCACAGCACCTGGGTCCCCAATGCCAGTGCATGGGGCAGCCAGGAGGAAGATGCCCTGGGAGACACTGACCCAGAAAGGGAGAGAAATGAACAGGAAGGTGAGGAAAACAAACCACTTCTCACCCAAAAATTCAGATCAGCCTGGAGCTCATGGGAACATTTCCAACCTCAGAGCAGGACCCCACGCAGCCCAGGAGCAAACCGCTGAGCAGACAGGTGCAGGGAGAGGACAGAGGGGAAGGACTCTGCCAGCACCCAGGGCAGAGGTGCAGGTCAGGGGGCAATTCTGCTGCCCAGTGGGGAGGGGAGGGGGACGGCGTCTCACCTTCCTGCTCCCCTCCCTGCAGCTGCTACTGCTGTGCCTGCTGCTGCAGCAACAATGGCCCGTGGCTGGGGCCCCCGGCCCTGGGGGCCTGGTAGAGGTATAGGCTTGCCAGGGGATGCCCCTGGTGTGCTCCCTCATCCCCCAGGTGTGGGGCTGTGCCTCCCATGACAAAGCCTCTGCGATGGGACAGAGGGGTCCTTCCTCCCTCTCCACTGAGACACACTGCTTGGCATGGGGCTCTGCCTGCCCAGCTCCTCCAGGTGGGTGGTGCAGGGCTGCCCCTGTCATGACCAGGACTCCTGTAGGGAGGGGTCATCCCGGTCCTCTCTCTAAGTCAGCACCCAGGGCTGGTGCCTCACGCACCCACCCCTCACCCACCCACCCATTCCCCTGTTGGGAATGGAGACCAAGGAAGCCAGGAAGCCGGGAGAATGCCTGGGCAGATGTGTGTGCGGGAGGTGCTAGAGCTGGAAGACAAGCACGTCCTGCTCCTGGCAGCCCCTGGGCAGGGCTGGGTCCTACACCTGGCAATGGAAACTCTTAGGAAACAAATTGCAGGGGGAAGCCCCAGATACATCTCCCATGAGTGTCAACTGCACTAGGGGGAAAGAACCAAGGCATCATTTATGGGAAGGACAATAATGGGTTCAGTGGATTCAGGAGCCTGTAATGTGTGACAGAGGAGGGCTCCCTCCAGGCCCCAGGGCTGCACTGTGAGGAAGAGCTGAGCTGCTGCAGCTGTGTCCATCACTTTTGGGAACATCCACTAGGAACAAGGGAGCGAGTGACCTGCACTGAGGGAGGGAGCAATGGTGTCTTGTTTCTATCGTGCTGTGACATGGCAGAGGGGAATCGGGAAGGATGAGCTCCAATCCCAGCTTAGCTCATGTTACTGCCCCACAGACCTCTTTACCCACACGGTACCTCTGTGCCCAGCAGGCAGATGAGTCTGTCTCTGCATCTTTGGAGAAGTTCCCAACCGGAGGTGTGATGAGAGGTCCTCCTGTCCCCGCGTTCCCAGTGGGGTCTAGCAGAGATGGGTAAGACTTGGCTGAAATGCATTCAGGAGTGGGACGTGAGGAGGACTTGGTCAATCTTTGAGTGACTTTCACACTGAAATGTAGCAGCTCAGACTTACGGTTCGGAAGGAAAATTTTACCCATCATGAGAAAAAAAACATGATGGTTTCAAACATGCTTCTAGTCTGCATCTGGGCAAGACAGGATGATCTTTCAAAATATCTCATAATATAGACAGAAGTGAGACTGAGAGACAGACAGACAGAAAAATTCCCCCTGAAGTTGCAGAGACCTGGGCCTTCCCCTGGGACAGGAGAGACCGAGGCTCTCAGACTATTCCCATCTCTGCATGCAGCACCTGGTCATCTGGCAATTTCAAGAGCGAGGCAGTGCCCTGCCATGGCCGGTGCCATGAATAAGGACGGGGCTCCTTAGTGTCACTTTTAGCACTTCCCCAACATTTCTCCCTGATGCTCTCCAGGCCCATTACACATCACTATATCCCAAGAAGCTGGCTGCCGTCTGCTCTTTTCTCCACATTTCTCCTTGTGGACGCTCCCTCAGCCAGCGGCAGAGACTGTATCAGCACTGCTCCACCCTGCCCGCCCAGGCAAGAATCCAGCTTCTCCATGTGCTCCCCAGGACGACTTCTCTCTGGAGGAACAAAACTGCCTTCAGCTACAACAGGTCCCACAACTGACCCCAGCTCTGTGACAAATCTCTCCACTTCCCCTACCCAAAAAATAAACCAGCTAAATCCTCCTCACAGCCCATTCTCTATGTGTATCTTATTTACTTAGTCTACCCTGCCTTCTCCTACAGCAGTCACAGCCCTGGGACACTGCAGATGGGTAAGATTTGGCTGGAAGAGATTCAAGGGTGGGACGTGAGGAGGACCTGGCGACTGAACAGCTCAGACCCTGCAGAGGAGCAGTGCAGATCCAGGAGTGTGAGGGAAGTGGTCATCTGTCCTGAGAGACTGGTCATCTTTCCAAACCATGGCCCCATTTTGCCCAGGCAAAAAGGAGTGGAGTCTAATAAAAGGGGAAAAGACAGAGAGAGAAACTCCTCCCTGAGGTGGCAACAGCCTAGGTACTCCCAAGGGACATAGAGGACTCAGACTGCTTGCGGACGTTTAAAAAAAACCCAAAGACTGAGCTTTTACTGTAAACGCAGGGCAGCCCCGTACTGGGTCCAGTGCATGCCCAGAAGAGGAATCACATTAGTTGGACCCAGCTCGCCCAACATTTGTATAGATCAGGTGCTTTAGTGGGGTTTTGTTGAAGCTTTTATCTAATGATTAAATTTGCTTTAGATAAAAGCACCAAAAAGGCCCCGTTTAAGCATCCAATCTATACAGACACTGCAGAGCCAGGCTGGGGTAACACACTTCTTCTTCCAGTAAAACACATGTTTTTCGTCTCCAGGCATCCTCAAGCAACCGCACCTGGCCATTCAGTGCTTGGAGGAGGGCTGCACTGACTTGCTGTAGCCTGTGTGAAGATCTGGGCGGTGAGCAGCCAGCAGAGGACACAGACAGAGCTCTGTACAGTCAGCTTTCAGCAGCGCCCTCATTCCCCACTCAATTCCCCACTCCCAATAAAAGCACAAATTAACTGAGACATGTGCCTGTGTGGTCTGTGCCAGCTATTTTGCTCTGTGGCTTCCTCAGTGACTGGCAGGGTATGTTGCTGTCACGTAGCAATGCTGCCTAGCCATCCCATAACAAAAATCCTGCCTTTTTCCATGCTCACCTCAGGCAGCCTTCCCCTGGCTGAATAAGGTTCCCTTCACTTACCACTGGTCCCTAGAACTGACCCCAAACCCAGGACAAAACCTTCCTCCTCCCAACACAGGACAGCTGAATCCTGCCTATCGGGATGTCCTGATGTAGCTGTAACAGCCATGGGGCCCTGGGGAAGCCACCGTGGGGCCCTGGGGAAAGCCATACCTGTGTGTGTCCCCACGGCAGTGAGCAATGGCCGGTGTTCAGGAGCAGAGTGCAGAGCGGTGCATCCCTGTTGCTGGTGCACTGTGTGAGTGCAGGTGTGCACATAGGCAGGAGCTCAGAGGCTGTGTATGACTGATGGTGGGGTTACAGTTACCCCAACCTGCTTGAAGGGGCCAGCCCTCCTAGGACAGGAAGACTGATGGCCTGTCCCCTGTCCCAGAATAAACCGCACAGGAAGCCCTCGCTGCTGCTTTGAGATGTGCTGCTCCTGCACAAAGAGGACAGGGCTGGGACCTGTACTGGGTGGGTGACAACTGAGCGGTGGGGTGGGGGATGCTGCACAGTCTGGGTGGGATGTGATGAGAAACGTGATGCTGCTAAACTTGAGTGTGTGTCAAATGGCTGCTCAACTTTAAACACAGCTTTTCTATGAAAACACAGCTGAGGTTTCAGCCCCTCACTGGTGCCTAATGGACTTTAGCACTAAGTGAAAACTGATTTCCACAGGAGCCAGTCACTTTGGCAAGTCAGATTCCCTTGGCCCCTTTGAAAGCCCACCTCAGCAGCTGAGCAGGAAAAAATGGGCAGAATCTAGGAGCCATCAGAGGTTCAGGCCTTGTGAAGGGTGAGGGGATTGTGTGGCCTGAATATCTGGTTTGGGGGTGAAGCTATAATCACCCATATTGGAAACTGTTGACTCCAGGATTTGATTTGGTGCTCTCAGGGCTTCTCCTCCAGCTCCCAGCCCTGCTGTGATATTTGCTGGGATGGGAACAGGCTGGGGAAAGTTGTTCTCTCCATCCAGGATGAGAATATTTTATTCTCTTCCCTCCTCTCATTATTATGCCACCAAAGCAGCAGCAGTGTCACCACCAGCAGCACCAGTAGCATCCTGGGCACCAAGTCCTCACTTTGGACACTGCAGGGAGGGACAGTGTCTGATTGTGCTCTAACTCCTCCCCATCCTCATACTGGAGCTCTGAGCAATTATATGCCTCTTTTACATGAAGTGCAACTCTTCCTCCTCTCCTCCCCTGCCTGTTCTTTCTGGACAGTTTGTACCCATCCACAGTCATGTGAGATATCCTACCAAGTTTCTGTTATTCCAATCACATCATAATTCCTGGACTATGTGAGGATTTCCAATTCCTCCTGCTTGTTTCCCAGGTTCCATGCATTCATGTACAGGCACCTGATGTAACTAGTTGATTGCCCTGATTTCTCAGAAAGTATGAGAGAACCTCTGCTGTTGCCAACTCCTGCTTGTTCTTCCTCCAGATCTCCCACTTCCCCACTTACCTCAAGGCTTTGGCCTCCATCCCCTGGCAACCCTGGTTTAAAGCCCTCCTCACTAGGTTAGCAATCCTGTCTGCCAAGATGCTCTTTCCTCTCTTTGTCAAATAGATCCCATCACTTCCCAGCAATCCTTCTTCTTGGAACAACATCCCATGGTCAAAGAAGCCAAATCCCTGCTGGTGACATCATGAGATCCCTGAATCGCAGAGATGTTGTGATTCAGAAGCCTGAAATCATCTCTAGGGGCCTAACTCAAGACACTCAGACTTCAATTTCTTGGGCCTTTGTATACACCATATGTTTTGCTCTTGCCTGTGATTTAACTGAGTGACTGTTTGTACAAATGGGATTTCCAGATGCTTTAAAAGTATTTTTTGGTGCCTTAAAGTAAAACTCCTCTGACATAGTTTAGTTTGGCTCTCTGGGAATTAAAGGGACGCATCCATGGATTCATTGCATGCAATCACAAAGTTATTCAAAGATGTGTAATGAGTTTCTTTGTCCACCAGATAGTGCTGCAACTTTCTTGTAGTTCAACCCTTCAAATTGCTTTCAATTTTGAATTGCTTCCCCCTTTTTTCCCTTGTGCCATTTGCTGGCTTGATGCCGCCGCAGCTTTGTGGACTGGGGTGAGGGGTCCCGGGTCCCGGGGGTCAATGCTGGACTATCCTGCTCTCCTACAGTGCTCACTGGGGACCAGGGTTAATTCATTAGAAAACCAAGTGCATGCAAACACTGATGTGACACTACAAAATACACAAGTTTAAATTTTACAAAACTATTTAATTTCATGAGGATTAAACTCTGTGCTGTGTACACGAACCCCTTGTCTCTAAGCCTCTGGCATGCTGCTCTTAGTGCCTGTCCTCCATCTCGGGCCTGAGGTTTCACTGCTTGGGAGATGTTACTCTGCATCCTCATTCTTCTCTTCCAGCTGCCCACCTCCTTTTTGCTGTTAATTCTGTTCTTGGCTCCAGGCCAGCTGTATTAGGAGTGTCATAACTAGCATCCTGACCACAGGGATATTGCTTTGTTGGTATCCAGGCAGTGCAGTGTCCAGATGAGGAGGGGAGAAAGAGGATGGAGTTGTTGTCTTATATGAATCACACCTCTCCTTCTCACACCGACTGATACTCTTCTATGCAGATGTCACAAAGCTCAGCAATGATCCCTCTGGCTCACTGAGAAGCTTCATATCAAGGGTTGTTCCAAATGCTCATTACTCTGAGCATTCCACATTACTCTGGCTGATAAAGTTACAAACATTGAAGGCACAGGCTTCAGTTCTGCATCAGGTCAGCAGGAGAAGGATTACTGGTAAAAAGGCAGGATGGCTGCATGTGGATTTTGGGACAATTTGAGGAAGGCGTTTTCCCAAGGTTGAAATTTGGACAGGACACAAGGTTGAATACACCTAGGGCAGACTGTTATTTCCTTTTGTGTGCCTCAATGGCAGCTTTCTAGCCATGTGCCTGGGCATTTCTAGCACCTATGTCTGAACTGTGGATACATAAGCATGGTTGTGAAACAAGAGCCTGTGCGGTCATCAGTAGGCAGGGGTTTGGGAAATCTGTACACAAAAATGTGTGGATCTAACTAGGACATGGGGAATTTAAAAGGATCAATCCCCCCCATCCTGAGTGTGCATTTCATAAAAATGTGATGAACATCATGTATCATAATGTGGAGATCTAC